AGCAGGAGGCTGAGTTTGAGGAAGTGTTGAGAATTTTATTGTGCCACGAAAAGGAGACATGTTTTCTCTGACAAAACTCTATATAATCAGCCATCATACTCAGAGCAAGTAAGACCCATCAATTTAACTGGACCAACCTACAGGGTGATGTGATGGCTTGTCCAGCAATATGCTTTGGGATTCAGCTTGCAAATTAGGACACCCAGAACTAAGGTTTGTTATAAGTGTCTGTGTAGAGCTAAGGGCGGGATTCAGTTGCCGTAGGTGTCATTTGAGATCCCCCCTGGGTGTCTGAAACATCCTCTTAGGGCTGGCAGGTGCAAAACAGGATTTATGAGAATCAGGCCTCCTCTCAGCCCAGATGGGTGTCCCTGCAGAGCCTAAAATAACACTAGGCTCCTGCGTCCAGGCAAGTGAAACTGGCCATAAGTGCCTGTTATAATCAATGGAGCACCGTAATGTGCACTGAACACAGACACCTGCCTTTGAGCTGAATGGGTTTCCAGACCCCACTGAGTGTTTTGATGGGGTCTTAGGCACTGAGGGTACAGATGAGCACATCTAGCTGTCTAAAGCTGCAGACTGCATCCCATCTGGAAGCTCCTGAATGTCACAGGGACCCTGAAGGTCCCTGAAATCATTAAGGCTGGTGAGGGCTTGTACTCTTCAACCCAATGATGGTCATCTGAGCAGCAGTTTCTTATTTGGTGTGAGAGACTTTTAGTCCAGAAGTATATAAAACTCAAAGTGAAGCTAAACAGCCAGTTCATAGTTTCTTAGATTTTAGGCCAGGGTATGACTCACAAGGCTAACTCTGCTCATTGCAGGGGGGTTGGACTAGATGACCTTTAAATGTCTCTTCCAACCAAACCATTCTATGATTCTATATTCCTATGATTCTATAACCTTTTACTTAACACAGTGGTTACCTGGCATTGACTCCTGCATCAAGCCCGTTACTTCTACCCAAACTAGAGCAAGCTGTTTAGAGAGACAGTGACTACTGATTGAAAGGGGGTGCAGATCTCCGTGTGGTCTCTGGTATTTTGCTGTTTGGATAAAGTGCAGACACACTCTCTGATCTGTGTTTGAATCAGCCTTGCTGTTATCAGCTGAAATAGCATTCGGAATACACCAATGTCAGGCCCACTTTGCCCTAAAATAGATGCAGAAGGTTGGAAGTATATCTTCTCAAGGAATTCTTTGCCTTTGTTGGGGTAATTTTTTCGATTTGCAAAGCCCCTGTGCATTCCCCATTGGCGTTACCTCTCACTGAGGCTTTCTCTAGTCTCTGCTTATGTGCTGGAGTTTAATCCTTCCCTCCTCCCGCTTCACTTTCTCTTTGAAGATCCCAGGTCTCCTTTCCTCACTGCCACCTTCAGGATGATGGTATTCCCATCGCCTGGGCTCAATGTACAGTATGTGACCTTCTCCTCTGGCGTGTCATTTGGCTCTCGAGCCTGTAAGAGTTTACATTTCCTACAGGCATGGGGATGCCTGATATATCTCTGTCAACCTTCATCAAGAGCAGGTTTGCTCTTTAACCAGTGGGGTTTGAGAGACAGTAGTCAAGGCAAACAGTGTCATGTGGTAGAAAGCCAAGATCACCTGAAGATCTGCTTG